TTAGTTTTGACATGTCTTAAGCTAAGCAAAAATTTAAACGAATTCTAGAGAAGGAAAAGTTCACGCATGCTCTTTACAATTGCACCTTTATGTTGTCTTCGATGTCTGCAAGCAAGGGAAGACAGGTTGTTTAGTTCATAAGGAGCGAGGGAGTGGGTGAATTCAATAGAAATAGGTATTTGTGAAATCAGTTTGGCTAGACAGTTCTGGACTTCAAGGCTTCAAAACTAACCCTTGACCACTACCCACAGCACAAAAAGGACGTAGAGAGCCTTAGGATCAGCAGGAACGTTAGCAGTAGTCAGTGGTAGTTGGCAAGATGATTTATCTCGCCAAATTCAATACTCACAGTGCACATAGCCTTTTTAAACATGTCCTCGTACATCAATCCAATGATTATTCTGGCATCTTTCTCCTAAATACCAGTAACAACTTGATCACTAATGGAACATCAATCCCATTACGTTCTATGTAATATTTTCAAAATTCATCATCTTGCTAATCAATTAGGTTTAGCGGCTAGTCGGTCCAATTTGACCGAATGTTACTCTACGAACTTTCATCTGGGCCGGGTTTTACGAACACGATGAACCTAACCAGAGGTTAGTGTAAATTTTAATTCAGTTTTATAGCTTTGCAAGGGGATTTTTCTTTTGTTTTCAGCCTCTTTTTCCGTTAGTTTCCAGTCATGTTGAGACCAAACATAACAAAACCTTAGCCTTTATATGTGCTCTTCTAATTGAGAATTTTAAGTCTGGGTTAACTTTTAATCCTACATTTGCGTTAATCCCCTTTCGAACAACCGGTCTACATAGCCGGGTTGTCTAAACCTGGGATCAGATAATTCATGCAGGGTTAGTGTGAAATCTGATATCAAATCTCAAAGCTTTAAACAAAAATTCAGTATGATTTTTTTTGTCCACAATTTGGTAATTAGACGTTCTAAAAAGAAAAGAGTAAAGTATCCCAAAAAAAACTTTTGAATAAAGGAAAAAAGAAGCCTGGACTAAAACTCTACCCTGGCTCAGCGCTATTCGGCCTTTGAACAACTGGGGTATAACAGAAGCAAGTTGAAAGATAGACTATTAAATTTGAAATATAGATTTACTCTTTACCTTCAGTAAATTTTTGACTGATGAAGACGGATCCTTTATAAAGGTTTCTTCCGCAATAACGGTGATGTTTGATTCTTTTAACCTCGGAATGAGATCTTCTTTTGTCTGTTAAAAAAATTAAACATTTAAATGCAAGGGTTTGGCGAGTTCTATCGGGTAAGAGAATCACATGTTTAAAGATGACGTACTTTTGTCTGTTGATTGTAGATTTGTGACTTTAATTTAATTAAATTAGCTTTTTATTGGAATACTAACTCCATCACGTTTCAGAGATGAACTGAAATGTTCATGCATAGTTATAATAATCCGGCAATTCTTACTGTAACAAAAATATCGAAGTTTTCCACAATGAGGGCGACTCTTTTCCACTTAAAATGTTTAAACAGTGCGACTCTAGCCGGGTTTTCCATTGTTTCAGAAGTGGCGGTTCTGAAGTATAAAGGATACTTCTCTTTGTTTGAAAACTGAGGTGATGATGCGCTGTAACCAATCTGAAAAAAAAGCAAAGCAAAACAAAACAAAACAAAAAAACACCAATCAAACAAAATATATATAGCGAAGAATTTGTGTTCAAGGAAGGTCCAAAAAAATATATGCATTCTAGCAAATCAGCCTCGTTCCAAGCCAACAAAGAAATTTTCCAGGCTCTCTTTTGAATTAGTGATGCACCGAAAAATCAGGTGTTGACTTGTGAAAAAGCGATCATAAAGGGAAATATTAGAATTTTTCTATAGTTTTAGTCATATTAGTAATAATAGTAATAATTACAAGATCAGTACTTCCACAACTTTTTCATACAAATTTAATCAAAATAGATTTCAAGTTCATCAGATAACGTCATTAGTTTATTGTGACGTATCCTTTGACTTTGTTTTTACACGTTACAGAAACATTACGCTGTCAATTTAAATCAAATCACAATATTTGAAATGAGTACAGCTAAAATAGTTTAAGTATATACCCGTAATAAAATCTACACAAATACACAAATAATAATATAGTATAAAATTAGTATAATATAGTTATTACATAATTATTTTATTATTATTACAAATAATAGCTATAATGGTGATAAGAACATGAACAATAGTAATGGCAATAATAATGATGATTATAATAATAGTCACTGATATCGTTTTTTTCTCTGTTTTTTTTCTTCTAAGCAGGTCAGGTCCGTCTACATTAACATAGAGCAAAATATTTGTTTCTCAGTTATACTAAAAATGCGCCATAAATATGTAAATGACAGTAAGTCACCTGCACTGCTTGCCAATACGGCGCGGCCTCTGCAATAGGTTCGGTCGCTAACGAACATCCGGGACCCAAGAATA